AGGAGGACGAAGAACAGTAATATGCAACAGCCGCCGGGGCTGACATACACGACGACGACGACGACGAACGACAACGACTAGCGACAGCGACGACGACGACGACGACGACGACAACGTCCACTATGACAACGACGGCGGCGGCGGCGGCAGCGACGACGACGACGACGACGAAGACGACGACGAAGACGACGACGACAACGACGACGACGACCACCACGACGACGACGACGACGGCGGCGACGACGACGACGACGACGACGGCGACGACGACGGCGGCGGCGGAGGCTGCGGCGGCGGCGGCAGATGCGGCGGCGGCGGCGGCGGCGACGACGGCGGCGACAACGACGACGACGACGACGACGACGACGACGACGACGACGACGGCGACGACGGCGGCGGCGGCGGCGGCGGCGGCAGCGGCGGTGTCGGCGGCGGGGGGGGGGAGGATGACGAAGAAGACAAGGAGGACGAGGAACAATAATATGCAACAGCCGTCGGAGCTGACAAACACGACGACCACGACGACGACGACAACGAAAACGACGACAAGCACGACGACAAGCACGACGACAAGCACGACGACGACGACGACGAAGGCGGTGGCGGCGCCGGCGGCGGCAGCGGCGGCGGCGACGACGACGACGACGACGGCGAAAGACGACGAGAACGCCGACGACGACGGCGACGACGGCGGCGGCGGCGGCGGCGGCGGCGGGGGCGGGGAGGATGGGGAAGGGGGGAGGAGGATGACGAACAAGACAATCTATGCAACAGCCGTCGGAGCAGACAAACACGACGACGACGACGAACGACGGCGACGACCGACGACGACGACGACGACGACGACGACGACGACGACGACGACGACGACGGCGGAGGCGGCGGCGGCGGCGGCGGCGACGGCGACGTCGAACACGACGACGACGACGAAGACGACGACGACGAGCACGACGACGACGACGACGACGACGACGGCGGCGACGACGACGACGACGACGACGACGGCGGCGGCGGCGGCGACGACGACGACGACGAAGACGAAGCCAACGAGCACGACGACGACGACGACGAACACGACGACGGAGGCGGCGGTGAACACGACAACGAGCACAACGACGGCGACGGCGGCAGCGGCGAAGACGACAGCGAGCACGACGACGACGACGAAGACGACGACGACGACGACGAAAACGACGACGACGACGACCACGACGACGACAGCGAGCACGAGCACGACGACGACGACGACGACGACGACGACGACGACGACGACGACCGCGGCGGCAGCGGCGGCGGCGGCCGCGACGGCGACGGTGGCGGTGAAGACGACGACGACGACGACGACGACGACGACGACGACGAAAACGACGACGCGCACGACAACGAAGACGACAAAGACGACGACGAGCACGACGACCGACGACGGCGACGACGACGACGATGACGACGACGACGACGACGACGACGACGCCGACGACGACGACGACGACGACGACGACGACGAGCACGACGACGACGACGACGACGACGACGAAGACGAGGAAGAGCACGACGACGACGACGACGACGACGACGAGGAAGAGCACGACGACGAGCACGACGAGCACGACGACGGCGGCGGCGGCGGAAAACGACGACAAGCACGACGAAGGATGACGACGATGACGACGACGACGACGAAAACGACGACGACGGCGACGACCACGACGAAGACGAAGACGACAAAGCCGAGCACGACGACGACGACGACGAAGACGACGACGACGAAGAAGACGACAACGAAGCACGACGACGACGACGACGACGACGAAGACGACGACGACGACGATAACGAGACGACGACGGACGATGACGACGACGAAGACGACGACGACGTGACGACGAAGACGACGACGACGATGACGACGACGACGACGAGCACGACGACGACGACGACGAAGACGACGACGACGACCACGTGATGAAGACGACGACGACGAACGACGACGACGACGACGACGAGCGACGACGACGACGACGACGACGGACGACGGCGACGACGACGACGACGACGACGGCGACGACGACGACGACGACGACGACGACGACGACGACGACGACGACGACGACGACGACGACGACGGCAACGACGAAGACGACGACGACGACGGCGACGACGACGACGGCGACGGCGACGACGACGACGAGCACGACGACGACGACGACGAAGACGACCACGACGATGACGACGACGACGCCGAAGACGACGACGACGACGACGACGACGACGACGACGAAGACGGCGGCGGCGGAGGCGACAGCGGTGGCGGCGTAGACGACGACGACGACGACGACGAGCACGAGCACGACGACGACGAAGACGACGACGACGACGACGACGACGACGACGACGAAGACGGCGGCGGCGGAGGCGACAGCGGTGGCGGCGACGGCGACGACGACGACGACGACGACGACGGAGGCGGTGACGGTGGTGGCGGCGGCGGTGGCGGCGGCGACGGCGGCGGCGGCGGCGGCGACGCCGTTCCTGAGTGCGGGGGCCTCTGTGGGCTGGGGCCTCGGTGGCTGTGTCGGGGGCCTCAGTGGGCAGCGCGCTGGGGCCTCTGTGGGCGCGCTTGGGGCCTCTGTGGGCTGGGACCTCTGTGGGCGCGCTTGGGGCCTCTGTGGGCTGCGTTTGAAGGCCTCAGTGGGCAGCGCGGCGGGGCCTCTGTGGGCGCGCTTGGGGCCGCTGTCGGCTGGGGCCTGTGGCCGCGCTTGGGTCCTCTGCGGGCTGTGTCTTTTCTTTTCCTGGGGAAGATGTAAGTGGTCTACACAGGAGCTGCTTGTGAACTGCCTGCGAGCTGGCCGTGATTTCACAGCTCATGCATACACAAAAGGATAGTGAAGGCCATACTCTTTAGCACGGCAACGTCCTACCCCCACATATGAACCATTGGGTACTTCGCCCCATGAATCAGATGCCACACACCTCGCCATCAGTCTCTTGACATGTGTCATTGCTGTCCGCATGATCCTTGATATCTGGCCCATGTGGCCGGCGAGGGAACCCTATGATCTTCCCGTTCTCTCTATGCTACGCATCTATGGTGCTGATAACACCTTCAACGGGCTTGTCATCCTCCCCACCGTATGAGTGAGCGACACGCATGCCCACGATAAAGAAGGCAAGAATGTGAAGGACGAGGTACAGGAAGCCAACAAGCAACTGCGCGGCGATCCAGTTGTCCGAGCAATAGCTCACAGCTTCATCACCGTCTGGGCAATCGCCGTGAGAGATGCTGAAAATAGTCCTGATCAACCCCCCGTTTCCAAGACTGTAGAAGAGAAGCAAACTATTGCCCCCGCCAATGAGATTTAGCAGGTTGATCGAGTGCCAGACAAGCAGCGGCGGCAGTGCTCGGCGCTTGCCCATTCGGTCAGCCATGATGGTCGCCTGAGACAGCAGCACCGAATAGACACCATATTGCAGAAGTGTTGTCTGATAGTAGTTGGAAATGAAGAGCATCGGGGACAACAATGTGATCACCAAAGAGATGAGCGAAAGCCGCCGACCCGTTGCCGCTCTCAGCTCCTGAAGAACAGGCCCTCGACCCAAAGCTGCAAACGTAATGAATGGAGCTGCGAGCGCCATGACAACAGCAGCGACAGGTAACGCATAGTCCAAAACGTCCCGCTGGGCCGACGAGCGCTCAATTCCAAAATAACCTGTTGTCATATCCTGCGTGCCTGCGAAGGCCAGGCGCCAGCAGAATGCAAGGACTCCGCACGCGCTCTCGAGCCCAGGTGCGCTTGAGCCAAAATGGCTACGGAGGTCCTCTGCGGGCTGTGTCTGAGGGCCCCAGTGGGCAGCATGCTGGAACCTCTGTTGGCGCGCGGGGGCCTCTGCGGGTAGTGCCCGAGGGCCTCAGTGGGCAGCGTGCTGGGTCCCATGTGGGCGCGCTTGGAGCTTCTGTGCGCTGTGTCCGACAGCCTGAATGAACAGCGTGCTGGGGCCCCTGTGGTTCGGGGGCCTCTCTGGCCAGGGCGTGCAGGAGTGCATTGCAAGGGCGCGTCGAGCAGGAGCCCCATGTCGTCGCAGGATGGCCTCCGGCGCCGCTACTGAATTTCAGTCTCTGGCCACGGGGCCTCGAAATACAGCTTGAGGAAGTATCGAACGGGAGCCCTTGTCGTCACGGCTGGGCCCCCACCAACATGACTGAAGTACGAGAAAGTCAGGACCGACAGCGCCACTCTTGAGTTCGGGGGCCTCTCTGACCAGGGCCTCTGCGAATACATCTTCGGGAAATATCGAACGGGAGCCCTTGTCGTCGTAGTTGCGCCTCCACAAATTTGACTGAATCGCGGAAAAGTCTCGAGCGAGCGCAGCGAGAGCGCCGTTCCTGAGTTCGGGGGCCTTCCTGGCCAGGGGCTATCGGAGTAGATCGCGAGAAAGTATCGAGCAGGAGCCCCTGTCGTCGTGGCTGGGCCTCCGCCAGCTTGCTTGAATTGCGTTGAAGTCTCAAGCGAGAGCGCCGTTCCTGAGTGCGGGGGCCTCTATGGCCAGGTTGTCTCGGGGTAAATTGTGAAGACGTATCGAGCGGGAGCGGTTGTCGTCGTAGCCGGGCCTCCAAAGGCCCACGTTTACACTCAAGCCAACGCTCGCGCGGGAGCCTCGTTCTCGGAGAAAATGTGGCCGGCGTCGAGGCGAGAGCGCCCAGAACCGTTTCTGGAGATCGATCAACTTTCATTACTCTCTAGAGATGAGTATTCGACAACGACAGCAACGACGACGACGACGACGACGACGACGACGACGACGACGAGGACGACGACGGAGGCGGCGGCGGCGGCGGCGGGTGGTTGGGCCTCCGCAGTCTCGTCGCCCAGCGGGCCGCCGCCCAGGTCCACGTCCAGCGGCGCGCCACCGAGGCCGCCTCCAGGCAGCAGCAGCAGCAGCAGCAGCAGCAGCAGCAGCAGCAGCCGGGAGGTCGTCGCTTCGGCGGTGGGCCTAGGGAGGAGGC